TATATATATATATATATATAATTGGATATATAAAATTTTTAAATTAGGATTAGCTAAATTTATTTAAAGCAATTAATTATATTTGAGAAGAACAAGAACATATTTTTTTTAAAAATAACATGAGATATAGTATATTAAAATTCAACAATTAATAATTTAAATTAAATATAGATTAACTAAATTTGAGTTCATCTTAAAAAACATATGTTTTTAATATAATATGGTTTATCGAAATTTAATTTTTAATTCAAATTTGAATTGAGATTGATTAAATAATAATAATTAATGAGTAAGAATACGATTACAAAATTATTAAATAAATACTCAATAAAAATTAATTCTTGAAAGTATTCTTTATCAAAAAATAAAATTTTAAACTTATAGTATAAAAATGAAAAAGAAAAAAACAACAAAACAGACTAATCAATTTTGAAATTATAACAAGTGGTGCAAGTTGGGGAGTTTCCCTTCGATCATATGATGCAAATGGGCCAATTAATATTATATGATCCGATCCAATAACTACGAGTTTAAAATCTATGCACGGTATAAAATTATATTATTCACCAATAAAAAAATTGTGTCAAAGATTTTTTTTTTTTTTTTACAACTGTCAGATTTTCTTTTTAAAAAATTTGTCGTAAATGTTAACAAAATTATTGATTGTGATAATTTCTAATTGGGTGAACGGCATACAATAATGTATTTATACTGTTCGTGTTTATATTATTTCCTTATAATTTAAACCAATTTTGCCAATTCTAAATTCCTAATGAATTTGGGATTGATGACTTACTTAGTATTGCAGTATGTCGTAACGTAAAAGTTATGTACTATTATTTCAATAAGCAATTAAACAACAAATAAAATAAAGATTTAATATATTTAATAAAAAAATAAGGAACTTGATTGGAGTAAAAAATGGCTGAGAATTTAAAATTGCACATAAAACATAATAAAGAATCAAGAAAATGCAGTTATGTCAACGTAATACCGGTTACGTTACCAAAAAAAAGTAATAGCAGTTATTATAATATAGTTATAGATGATAAGCATTTGAAAATGCCTCGCTACAAGATGAAACATTATCTATAGGATTAAGAAAGAATTAAGTATTTAACATTTGATTAGGAACATCGGCATTCAAAAGGAGAGAGAGGGGACTTTTGTAAAGCAGAGAACTGTGGTGTGTTAATGTACATTAACTAACGCCTTGATCCTCGGAGTCTCAATTCCCGCCTGAGTTATCGGACGAACAAAGAAAGCAGACCCCGCCACCTAATCATTGTATTGTTACTTGTGAACTAATCAATTACAATCCCCGATTCCCAGGAAATAGATTTCAACAAGGAGAACTTTAGTAAAATAATGTTGTTCCAATTTTAGTTAATACTCTGTATTATGTGTCTAAAATTATTTTAATTTCATTAATAATCTTGTATTCAAATTTTGAGTACATAGTTGTGTAAGATTTGAACAAAAATTCATCATTTATAATATTTCTATTTAATTTAAATAAAAAAAATTTCTATCAAAAATCTGGTTCCAAATTTTCAAATTTCTGTTGAAAGTCGATAACTTTTTTTCTTCTTTTCTTCTACAAGCTTCATGATTTTGTGGTTGAGGTGAGAAAACTGTTATGATACTCTGAAGAATTGTAAGAGAATAACTTTCTTTCTTTCCTTCTTCTACAAGTTCCGCGATTCTTTCGTTGAGGTGAAAGGATCTTATGATATATACTTTGAAGAATTGTAAAAAGACTAACAATATTGTAGGTAAATGACGTAAATGTGTAATATGCATGTAACTTATATATTACACGTCATTAAGAGTTGTTTACCAATTATTATTAATAATTATATAAGATGTTACAAATAAGAGTTTATAAATAACTAACACTATTTACTTCATATTTACATGCCTGACTCAAATGTTCATAAGCATTTTCTAATTATCTTTGATAATTATCAAATATATATACATTTTTTTTATTCATTTTAGATAATTATTAAATATATCTTATGCTTTAAAATCTTGTTTTTGGTTACAAAACATTTAACCAAAAGTTAATTTTATTTTAAGATATAATTGTTAATATTAAATATTTTTCTTTGTTGAGATTTGACAAATGAAGAATATATTTTGGAAGTTACACAACTTAAAGGAAAACTATCACCCAAAGGCTAACTAGACGCGCTGTAAGTAGGATGAATTCGCTCAAAGTGTCCAATAACTTACTCTAAACAAGTTAAATCAGATATTACACCTAGGAGATCAAATTAGTTCACTTAAACGAATGAAATTCGCTCAAAGTAACCAAAACTCAACTTGAAGCTAGTTAAGTTACAAAACATCTCTTAAAGATAGTGTTAGCTCGTTTAAAATTAAAACCACATATATGATTAAGTTAAGGGAAGAGATTAAGCCATAACATACATTAAGTAAAGAAGAGAGAAATAATATAAATAATAATTAAGATTAATAAAGTAGAATATGACATAAAAATAAGTCTGGTTACATCAAACTCCAATAATGAAGAATCATATATAAACATGGTAAAGAACTATACATCCCCTAGTTATACATAAACATGAAAAACTACAAACTTGATAATAAATTTGGTCTTGAAGTCGTGAAAGTTCTTTCAATTGTTACACACTAAGAAAATTGTATAATCCTTCGGTCCTCAAATCTCTTTAATTTTTAGGTCATAAAATATTTTGCCTCTTTTCACTAATGGTAGGTGAACATCCTAATTCTAAACATAAATATTTCCATACTTAACACGTTAGAAAAGAATTTATTTAGAGTTATGATGTTAAACATAAATACACTCACTTAATGTGAAAATATGTGATAAGTGAGCTTTATTTCCACGCTTAGTGTTGCTTTAAGCATTGTTCTAAGGCTAAAAACATGTGAATAGACGCTTAGCACGTGGACTTGGCCAAAAAGTTATTCTCTCTCTTAATGGTTCATCATATCTTCACAAACTTGCTTTTTTCAATGTTTTGTATCCTTTTTCTTTCCACTTACATATAAACATAGAAAGGCTAATTAGTTTCCTAAAAATTTCAAACACTAAATTTAAGTTAACTTTTCACCATTTAAGGTGAAAATGGATAAAACAAGAACTCAAGTTTAAAAGAATATAAAATAAATGTGATAGCCTTTATCTCAAAATAATTTTCTTTATTTAATTACTTAAATACAAAAAATTAAACTATAAACACAATCATATTTTTCTTGGATAAAAGGTACAAATTATATATAGGTCCGAATAAAACTGCAGTAAAAAAAAAAGGTTTGAATAAAACTTTATAGTTAAAAGAACAGAATTAATTAATAAAGTAAAATAAATACTCCAAAAGCCTTTACATGAGTCCAAAACTAAAGATAAACCAATAACTTTCGAGAATAAATAAAATAACACTAAACAAAATATGTGATCTTCCAAATTCCAATGTCATAACTACTAGAACAAAATTCAAAAGTAGTAAACAAAAGGAAGCCTATAGCTTCATCTTTGACATGATCATCTTTATCTTGTTCAAACCTACCTACCTATAAGTGACATCCAACTCAAGTGAAAACAAACAACAACACAAAAAAAAAAAAATCGAAAGAAAATTATAAACAGCAACACACACAAAAAAAAAAAAGAGTTAAAATATATTTCACCCAAGTTCATAGTACATATAAAAAAAGTGAAGAGCATCCAATAATACATCACAATTTAACACATAAACACACATTACTTTCCAGAAAGCTAACACGCACAAAATAATAACTCTTAATAAATATTAAATATTATGTTTTGATATAAAAAATTACTTTTAATTCTTTAACCATTTTGTTTAAAACAATGGTAAACAAATCCCACGTTAAATTTTGACTTCGAAGTGCCCTTTCCCATGGATTAATGGTAAGGAACAATGATGTATGAAAATTTTAGTTTTTAAAACCTACGTAAATAATCCTTTTTATCTCCCTTCTTAGTTCTCTGTATATTTATGAGTACCTATTGTATGTCTCTAGTGTCAAATAATTTTTTTTTTATTTGCAGTAGCATGATTCCTAATTATATTATATATGTGATATATATAATCAAGTATTATTATTTTTTAAAATTAAAAAACTTAAAATATATGTGATTAGAAATGGATGATCATGTATATATATACGTGCTATTTTTGTACGTACTACCTAATCATGTTTTTTTGATAACGACTTACATACTTAATAATGTGTTTGAATGAAAAATTTAAATAAAGTAATTTATTTATTTGAGAAATTTTAAATTCTTTGAAGTGAAATACCTTGTTTGGATGGAGAATTTATAAGGAATTTGAAATTCAAGCATTTGTGAAATTTCTTGAAATAGTATAATTTCAAATTCTTCCAAAAAAGTAAGAATTTGAAATTCCTCATATTTTTTTTCCTTATTTCACTTATATATTTTATCTTATCTCTTATCTCTTCAACGTTTTTAATTATTGAATATTCAAAAATATTTTTAAAATTATTAAATATTATCTAATATTAATTTTTAACATTATTAAATATTTAAAAATTAGCTAATATTTATTTTTATAAAATTTAATTTAAAAATATTAACATATAAATATATTTTAAAATTAATTTTACCATAGTGGAATCAAATTATCATATCTAACCCAATAATTTAAAATTTGAGAAATTTGAATTGATTTATCCAAACAAAATATTTTAAGAATTATAAAAATTGAAATCAAAATAATTCAAATACCAAAAATTTAAAATTTCTTGAATTTTTAAAATTTCTCATCCAAAAATTTAAAAATGTTAATTTGACATTTAGAAAAGGAGTATCTAAAATAAATCATTGCCCTTACTTAATTAAGTGTCTCCTATATTTAACTAAATATCTCCTATATACTTATTGGAAGCTCTAAGATCCTCACTAAACTTCTGAAAAAAAGGAGAACCCCCCGTTTCCTATGCATGGAAGCTATACTTAGGGAGTTTTGGTTAAATCCTAAACCATGAAAAAAAAAATTCAGCACTGACCATTATACCTCGTTGTAAACAGGTTGGAGGTTTGCAGCTCGCCTACGTACATGCAGCAAAGACAGAAACACCATGACGCTCTTTGCGCCAACATAAACATTCCAACCATCCAGTTAGTTAATTATTACTGTTATCCAACAAAGCAAACGCATGTTTCTCCGGCGAACCCTAATATAAAAGAGGCAGATAGCACCTCAAAGGAAAGAGAAGAAAAGAAGAAGAAGAAGAAGAAGAAGGAGAAGGTGACTACCAGAAGAGGTGCCTCCAAAACGCAGCCAACATGACTGTTTGCCCTAGCGACGACAGGCATGTGGCCGTTTTAGCGTTCCCATATGGCACACACGCGGCACCTCTCCTTAACCTGGTGAGGAGAACCGCCGCGGACGCTCCTGAAGTCATCTTCTCCTTCTTCAGCACCAAAAAGTCCAACGCCTCTGTCTTCGCCGGCCTCGACGAGGAGCAGCTTTTCAACATAAGGCCCTACGACGTCCACGATGGCCTTCCCGATAACTATGTCCCTTCCAACGCTCTCGAACCCATTGGCATGTTCGTCAAGGCCATGCCTGGGAACTATAAGACTGCCATTGACGAAGCCGTTAAAAACACCGGGAGGAACGTTACTTGCTTGCTTACTGATGCCTTCTTTTGGTTCTGTGCTGACTTGGCTCATGACTTGCACGCAAAGTGGGTTCCTCTTTGGACCGCAGGGCCTCATTCTATCCTTGCTCATGTTTCCACCGATCTTATTAGGGAAACATTGGGCCCCGATGGAGGTAATATCACAAATTTCTCAATGTTTGAAAAATAAGTTCTCAATGATTTAAGAATAATGCTTAAGGAATACTTAGATGAATTATATCTAAATTTTGTTTTTGTAAAAATCTATTAAATTGTAAGAGAATGGTTGAATTGGTTAATTTGTTTAGTTTTTCTAAGGATGACTATGGCTGTTGGCCTGAACATTAAAAATGAATTGAATTTGACAATACATGTACTTTAGAGGAAATTAATGTGTAATATTTTCTTTCTTTTGCAGTCCGTGAAAACAGAGAAATCGATTTCCTTACTGGTTTCTCTGGGGTGAAGCCTTCTGACTTGCCTGAAGGAGTAGCCGAGGAGTTAGAAGATCCTTTTTCAAGTATGTTACACAAAATGGGAGCAGCACTGCCTAGGGACGTTTTTAATTATTGAATATTCAAAAATATTTTTAAAATTATTAAATATTATCTAATATTAATTTTTAACATTATTAAATATTTAAAAATTAGCTAATATTTATTTTTATAAAATTTAATTTAAAAATATTAACATATAAATATATTTTAAAATTAATTTTACCATAGTGGAATCAAATTATCATATCTAACCCAATAATTTAAAATTTGAGAAATTTGAATTGATTTATCCAAACAAAATATTTTAAGAATTATAAAAATTGAAATCAAAATAATTCAAATACCAAAAATTTAAAATTTCTTGAATTTTTAAAATTTCTCATCCAAAAATTTAAAAATGTTAATTTGACATTTAGAAAAGGAGTATCTAAAATAAATCATTGCCCTTACTTAATTAAGTGTCTCCTATATTTAACTAAATATCTCCTATATACTTATTGGAAGCTCTAAGATCCTCACTAAACTTCTGAAAAAAAGGAGAACCCCCCGTTTCCTATGCATGGAAGCTATACTTAGGGAGTTTTGGTTAAATCCTAAACCATGAAAAAAAAAATTCAGCACTGACCATTATACCTCGTTGTAAACAGGTTGGAGGTTTGCAGCTCGCCTACGTACATGCAGCAAAGACAGAAACACCATGACGCTCTTTGCGCCAACATAAACATTCCAACCATCCAGTTAGTTAATTATTACTGTTATCCAACAAAGCAAACGCATGTTTCTCCGGCGAACCCTAATATAAAAGAGGCAGATAGCACCTCAAAGGAAAGAGAAGAAAAGAAGAAGAAGAAGAAGAAGAAGGAGAAGGTGACTACCAGAAGAGGTGCCTCCAAAACGCAGCCAACATGACTGTTTGCCCTAGCGACGACAGGCATGTGGCCGTTTTAGCGTTCCCATATGGCACACACGCGGCACCTCTCCTTAACCTGGTGAGGAGAACCGCCGCGGACGCTCCTGAAGTCATCTTCTCCTTCTTCAGCACCAAAAAGTCCAACGCCTCTGTCTTCGCCGGCCTCGACGAGGAGCAGCTTTTCAACATAAGGCCCTACGACGTCCACGATGGCCTTCCCGATAACTATGTCCCTTCCAACGCTCTCGAACCCATTGGCATGTTCGTCAAGGCCATGCCTGGGAACTATAAGACTGCCATTGACGAAGCCGTTAAAAACACCGGGAGGAACGTTACTTGCTTGCTTACTGATGCCTTCTTTTGGTTCTGTGCTGACTTGGCTCATGACTTGCACGCAAAGTGGGTTCCTCTTTGGACCGCAGGGCCTCATTCTATCCTTGCTCATGTTTCCACCGATCTTATTAGGGAAACATTGGGCCCCGATGGAGGTAATATCACAAATTTCTCAATGTTTGAAAAATAAGTTCTCAATGATTTAAGAATAATGCTTAAGGAATACTTAGATGAATTATATCTAAATTTTGTTTTTGTAAAAATCTATTAAATTGTAAGAGAATGGTTGAATTGGTTAATTTGTTTAGTTTTTCTAAGGATGACTATGGCTGTTGGCCTGAACATTAAAAATGAATTGAATTTGACAATACATGTACTTTAGAGGAAATTAATGTGTAATATTTTCTTTCTTTTGCAGTCCGTGAAAACAGAGAAATCGATTTCCTTACTGGTTTCTCTGGGGTGAAGCCTTCTGACTTGCCTGAAGGAGTAGCCGAGGAGTTAGAAGATCCTTTTTCAAGTATGTTACACAAAATGGGAGCAGCACTGCCTAGGGCAACAGCAGTTGCCATAAACTCCTTCGCTGCAGTGCACCCTCCTATTGCACATGAACTGGAATGCAAGTTCCAATTGCTACTGAACGTTGGTCCATTCATTTTGACAATGCCACAGTCTCTGCCTGCAGATGAAGACGGGTGCTTGCCGTGGCTGAACACGCAAGAGGAAGGGTCAGTAGTGTACATAAGCTTTGGAAGTGTGATAATGCCACCACCCCATGAGTTGGCTGCATTGGCTGAAGCCCTAGAAGAAACCAAATATGCATTTATTTGGGCTTTTAGAGGCAACCCTGAGAAGCAATTGCCACAAGGGTTCTTGGAAAGGACAAAGACACAAGGGAAGGTTGTTGGATGGGCCCCACAAATGCAAATCCTTAGGCACTCAGCTGCTGGAGTGTGCGTGACACATGGTGGTTGGAACTCCATTTTGGATTGTATGGTTGGTGGTGTGCCTATTATTAGTAGGCCATTTTTTGGAGACCAGAGTTTAAACACAGCCACACTGGAACATGTTTGGGGGATCGGTGTGGGACTTGAAAACGGGGTTTTCACTAAGGAAGGCACTGTCAAAGTTTTGCAGTCAATCATGTCAAGTGAGAATGGGAAGGTGATGCGGCAAAAGATAGTGGAACTCAAGGATTCCGCAATGGCAGCAGCGGGACCTGAAGGTGACTCTACCAAGAATTTCCGCACTTTCACAGATATTGTGACAGCTTCAAACTATGAGATAATTCACCCACAACACCACGGTCATAGAGCAGGTTTCCGCAGCAAAATCGTAGGTGCATTTGATGCCGCACGCACCAAATTCAGCCGCCGCCACCATAATCATAAGCATTAAGATATTCTACACTTTAGAAGTTTTTGCAGGCGCAATTGCAAGGTTCAAATTTAAGAACAGCAACTCAGCAACTTGGAACTTTGGATTTTATTTTCCCAAAGGAAGCGAAATGAATATTTCAGTTATTTGAAAGGCTCCTTATTGTATTTCTGTACTTGCAAATTAATAAAATAATGAAATTGGATTTTTCGTGCTCTCTTTCTATCTCTCTCTCTATATATATGACATATATAATTTGAAATTAGAAAAATTTAGAATAGTTCTTAACTTTTTCATGTAAAGATCTAGGCAACTTTTAATTAATTAATTGATAATGGAGAAAATATATCTACAGTGAATTATAATTAAGAAGTTCAAGAACTGAATCGAGAATTTTATATTGTAGCAATAAATATCCCCATGCACTTGACAATATTTGCAATCGAGCGAATTTGAGTTCTCTTTTAGGAATCTCTTACCTTTCCTCTAACAAAGTAATATCTAGAGTTTGGTTTGATATATAAAGAATTGAGAGAAGCATTAAGGGTTTAAGAGGGGAAAAAATTAGAGGGGTTGAGAGATGGAAAAAAATGAATATACTACTTTATAGTTTCTTCTACTTACAAAAGATATGACATTAATTATGAAAATAGTGTCTTCGAATGAAAGAAAGACTAAGAGGATTCGCAAAATGAAGAAAAGTTGTCTCAAAATGAGAAGAAGACATTTGTGTTAAAAACAAGGAAGAAGGATCAACAAATCCATACCTTATCTATAATTAATGTTTGGAAGACTCAATGTTCTTGAAAATCGCCTACCGTACTACTTCAAATGATCTTAGGAGATTTTGGAGACATCCCTCCAAGGCATGGACAGATGACAACGTGAAGAAGACAATACTTTATTCACTAAGAGGTGTTTTAATTTGTAGCTTTCAAGGAATCTGAATCAATTTCTGATTATTACTCAACAGAATTAAAAGTGATGGAGATATGAAAATAAAATAAAGGCTTAGATATAATTTTTATAAAAGTAATTTAGCATTTTTTTTATTTTTATAATTTTTTTTTAAATCATCTTTATAAAATCCAAACCTTTTATTTTTAAATTTTTGGGTCAAATACTATTAAAAAAATGTTAATTAATTTGTTGACATTTCACATTATTAAAAGATAGCATCATTATAATGTCATGTCTATATAATTCCACACCATCGTATGATCAATGCCACTCAACAATAGTATTACATTGATAGTATAGTAAAATAACTCTTAAGATCAATTTAGTTGTGAGAGATTCAGAGTAGTATACATATAATTTTAAGCTCAAACTTTGATATCATTATTATAATTTTGATAGATAAAAAAATAAAAAGAACTAAAAATTAAAAAAAAATGGACTTAAACAAACATATTTATAGGCACCAATGAAAAAAAAAAAAAAGACACTCTAGGCCTAAATATAGTCACTATTATCTGTCTCAAGGGAGATGATTTAGAATTTAACTCCTCTAAATTGAGAGAATTGCATGTTAGAGAATAAAGTGCAACAATGATCATTAATTAAAAAATTAACAATTACTATTATAATCAATTATATATGAGGAGGTTCAAACGACACCGGTGTAACTTTAACTAAGTGTTACACCGCTCAATAACTTTATATTAAATGTGAATTTTGTAAATCCAACCGTTAGATTGAAAGTTCATATCTCTTAGATCATATATATCAAATTTTATATTAATCTAAGATGATTTAATACTTCATTCTCATAAAACAAAATTAACGTAATATATACATTTCAAAATATACTAAAATATGAACACTTTGATTACCTTCAAGTTGTTGTTCAATTTTAACAAAATTTGTCATATATGATTTAAGAGATATGAACTTTCCATCTAACGGTTAGATTTACAAAATTCACATTTAATATAAAGTTATTGAGCGGTGTAACACTTAGTAAAAGTTACACCGGTGTCGTTTGAACCCTCCTC